TTCCTTATTTAAACATACTTTTTATTTACTTACTTATTGATTTTGAAAAAAAATATTTAAAATCATAGAGTTGACTTTAATTTAAATTAAATCGATGGTGAATTTGCTGAAGGAGATGATGGAATCATTGCTATAATCTCACAATCACTCTTCACCCCTTTATTTGCACATGGCTTTACAAAATGAGTTGGGTGTTCTGAAATATATACAGTTTGATTACTATCAATATTTCTATCAATCCAACAATTAGCCCCAATACGAACATGACTTCCAACAATAATATTTCCTAATACCTTTGCTCCTGTTCCTATAGTCACATAATCTCCAACTGTTGGATGTCGTTTTGTTCCTCGGTTAATCACTCCACCTTCTTCTTGGAAATGCATTGCTCCTAAAGTAACTGATTGATAAATTCTACACCACTCTCCAAGAATGGCAGTTTCTCCAATTACAACTCCAACTCCATGGTCTATAAAGAAATGTCCTTTGATACTTGCTCCTGGATGAATATCAATTGATGTGTATGAATGAACATTTTCCATCAATTCTCTACAATAATATCTTTCTCCACATTCATATAATATATGAGCTATTCTATAAACAACCACTGCTTGAAATCCAGGATAACATCTTATTATCAATGAAAGACCTGGTGCAGCTGGATCTCCAGCATATGCAGCAATAAGATCTGTTTTTAATGTTTTTTTGATTGATGGAAGTTTTTCTAACATTGCCATAATGCATTGGTGTGCAAATAATTCATCATTATAAGCAGCCACTGAATTTTTAATGTGATCAACTAATTTTGTTAATTCACAAGCAAGATGAGATTCTGATATGTTTTGGTGCTTCATAAAGAAATCGGGGAAGAAAATTTTCCTTAATCTCTGTAGTTCAGCAAAGACCTCTTTATGAGGATAGTCTCGTTTACTATGGAAAGCCTCTTCGTCTTGAAGATACATTTCATATAATTTATGTGCAATTGAATAAATGTATGTGTCCATTCCTAATGATTGACTACATAGTTCCTACGCACTTATTTATACTACAACATCTCCATGCCTTTTCAGAAAAAGTATTCCAAAAGGTCTCTTTGTTTCAAAAGAATCATTAATCGTCCCATTAGAACAATAGGTGAAAGGTCATACCTTCTGATTGGTTAGTCCTGATTTTGTTCCAATGAATTTGTAGAATAACATAATTTTTTCTATTTTAAAAACTTGTTTTTCATAATGATATTTATTATTTTAAAAAACGAATAAAAAAGAAAAGAAATAAAAGTCAAACTAGGAAATTCAGAGTGATAAACAATGAGTTATTTAATGACTATTTTTGCAAATAAATATATTCATGGTGAAGACGAAAAAAATAGCGGTTACAGTATATACAAAAAAAACGTAACTATTGATAAGTTAGCAGAAGACTCAATTTTTCAAGTCGAAAGTAATACTTGCATCGACCAATGCTATGGAAACTTGGACAATACTATAAATTTAGAAGGAGTTCATTTATACCTATCAACAACGCAGGATAAGTTATGTAAAAAATTAGAAACAGATGATATTGAAAATCATGATACATCGTTTATTTATGATCTAGATCCAGAGTCTTCTAGCGGATCACCTGAAGATGATTTAATTAATTCTATTGTAGGAATTTTAAAAGAAAAAATGTTTGATATAATAGCCAAAGATATTAAAATAGTTATTTCTATATATCCCAGTAATAGCCCTACAGAACAACCATTAAAAGTTATTGTTGAAACAAAGTCTATTCAGTTGTCTCGTGATAATAAAAAGTCTATTCAATTGTGTCCTGAAAAAGAAACTTCTTTCACAATTAAAATGGATGAAATTCGTCTTTCTTTTCAAGAACAGGACAAGCATCCAATTAATGTTTTATTTATTGGGTCTAAAAAGGAAGAGTGTATCTCGTTAAAGGGTATATGTGATTATCTCATCAACTTCATCACAGGAAATAAAAGTAAAGGACCTGTAAGTATTTCTTGTGACGAAGTTTCGGTCTTTATTAGCAAAGAAATGGTTGAGTTTTGTCAGAAGTTCATACACAAAAATCGATACCTTGTACTCAACCTCCTTACCAGACAACTGGAATCTTTAACACAACCTACAACAGAACTAACAGAAATAGTTGAAACTGTTTCAGACAGTGATGAAAAACCATCTGGTGGATTTTTTTCATCTTTTGGAAGTTTTCTAGCTGGGGCAGTTAATTATGTACTTCCTTCAGTTGATGAACAAAGTGAGTGTGAGAAAAGAACTAAAGAAGAGGTCATGAAGAATAAGAAAAAAAATAACACAGCTGACCAGTCATCCATTGTTGATTTGAAAACACAATCTTCTGTTCCAATTAAGTTCTATATTGGAGAAGTAGAAAATGGGATTTGTGTTGAGATGAATGTTTCATGCTTGTCAACAGCAGATAAACAATATGAAATAAAAACAATAAAAAGTACTATTGGAGGAAAGAATTTTTTGGAGATTAAAAATAAAGATGGAGACATTGTGATGACACGAAAACATAACAATGAATTTAACATCGATGCAAAAGGGATGGTCAAATTAACACTTGATACTATGAATATTGAAAAGGTTAAACAACAAATCTTTTCAATAATGGATGAGTTGGGGAAGTTTTTATCTGTATTTATGAGTATTAGCAATAAGATTCCAAAAGATGAACAAGAAAGTGTTGAAGATCAACCAGAGACACCTGACCAGCAACCAACTCATATCTGTATTAGATTGAATCAAATTGAATTGATATGCTGTGATGGAGAGAACAAATTTGAAATGAAAGTTAAAATAACAGAAAATGATGAACAACCATTAATTGAAATCACATCAGCTCAACAAACAAAAATCACAGTTAAAGCGGAGAGATTAGAAATGGAAATAGGAGAAAAGAAAAGTATAATTAAAGACATTGACATTACTATCCAAGAAGGAAAACCAAAAGAAGAAAATATTGGAATAATGCAACCATTATTCATTAAAGGAAATGATTCAATGAAGTTTGGTGATGTCACTCGAGTTGATGAGATTCCAAAAGTAGAAAATGGATTTGTTCAAATAAATCAAGAACAAATGAATGAATTAAAAAATGGATTTGAAATGAGTGAGAATTGTATTAAGTTAAATGTTCAAAGCATTAGTCTTGATATAGAAACAAAAGAACTTGTTACCCTAACTAAAGTTCAACAATATATAACTGGATTTGTAACAGAGTGTTGTCAGAAAATGTCGGTCCTTAAAACAAGAAAAGGTGCCAAATAAGACATTGTACAAATAGGTAAAAGAAGCTCACATCATTCTATTTTCTTTTTATAACAAAAAATAGTTAGATTTTTTTTTGTTATTCTATTTCTATATTTATCTTATTAATAACATTTTTTATTTTTTAAGATTTTCATTTTATTAAAAATAACATTCTTTATTATAGTAAATATTTTACTATTCTTTTTTTCTTTTCTAAAATTTATGTATTTTTTTTGTCTATTCTTATTTTTTCTTTATATCCTTTTCTATTCATATGTATATTTCTTTTGTTCATTTTATTTCTATTTTATTTCTATTCATTAAAAACTATTTGCATATTTTTTATTTTATTATTTAGACATTTGATATTGAAATTGATATATGATATTGAAAGTGGTGCATATTTTTACACACTTCATTTTTTAGTTTCTACACAAATCAGATTTTATTTATTATTTAAATATAAAATAATCAAATATCATATAACTTTTACTGTTTCTATTTGATATAATGATGTTACGTTGATAAGATAATATTCTCGATTAATCTTTTTTTTTTATTCTTCTATTTATAAAAATAGTTTATTTTTTTGTTTAAATAACAAAATAAAATAAGATAAAGGATGGATTAAATTTATTGATAGAATACAATCTCAATGAATATGCCACATAATATATCATTACATTCAATATCAAATATATATTGAGATCATGTGAATAATAGTAGGTGATTATTTTAAGACAATTAATGATGGTGACATTTCTTATATTTTTTAAATGAATAAGTGATTTCCATTCTTTCAAGTGTTAATCACTTTTTAAAAATTATAAACAATTATTTATATAATTTGTTTCTTTATCTTGAAAAAAAAAATAAAGAAGCAATAATAAAGAAAGGGGGAATTTGTAATGAATGTATTTTGAAGATGATAAAGAATAAATAAAGATAATGAATTGTTTTATTAAAGTAATATAACAAACATATTTACTATAATAGAACATATTATATATTGTTATTAAATATAAATTGTTATTAATTTAATAAATAAATATTTTTATTTATTACAATGTGAGTTGTTTCATTTGGCAACGAAAAAAAGCAAATAAGAGAAAAATGAAGAGAAAGAATGATATAAAAGAAAAAAGTGAAATTAAGAAGTAGAAGAAGAAGAAAAGAATAAAAGTAGAATGTTGAGAATATAAAAAGAAAGAAGATAAAAATGAATAATTCAAAAAGAGATAATAAATGATGAAAATAATGATGAAATAATGGATGCATTTTTTATTACAGAATTAGAAATATGCAATAAAAAAGTGTTTAATTTATTGATGCAAATTATTTAACATTATTTTATTTATGCAATTTATTTTATTCATTTTTATTTTTATAATTTTTATTTATATGTATTATTTATTATCTTTTTTCTTTTTAGTATATTGATTATTTTAATTTATTATTTATTATTCTTTTATTTATTTTTCTCTGTTCTTTTATTTGTTCTTTCTTATTATATTTATGAAATATTTCAATATTATAAAATAATTTTATTGTTTAATTATTTAAATGATTTAAATTAAAATGAATTTATTTTATATTTTATTGTTTTATTTTATATTTATTTTATATTTTAATAATTTCTTTAATATCATCATTTTATATTATTATTATCTTTATTCTTTCATATTTTTATTATTTATCATATTATTGTATTTTTCATTTCTTATTTTATTTTAATTTATTATTAATATTATTTATATTTCTTTTCTTTCTTATTATTCTTCTTTATTCTTATTATTTCTTTATTTATTAATTTTTTATTTTATTTATTTTCATTTTATTCATATTTTCATTTCTTGTTTTGATTATTTTGATTTGATTTAATTTTAATTTTTAATGTTATTATATTTTTGATTATTCTTATTTATTTATCATTTATTTATTATTTGTTTTTATTATTATCATTTGATTTGATTTATATTTATTATTTATTTCTTTTATTATCTTCGTTTTCTTTATTCTTTATTATTTATATTATATTCTTATTTCTTATTATTTATTTTTGATTTTAAATGATTGTTTTAATATTCATCATTTTATTTATATCTATTATCTTAATCTTATATCATTAAATTCTATCATTAAATATTGAATAATCAATGTGATATAACAAAATAATTTTAATAATATATCATTATAAAATAAAATAATTAATAAATGATTTCATAATAAATATTAAATTCATGAAATATTGAATAATATAATATAAAATGATAAATAAAAATAAAAATGATAATAATAAATAAATAATAATACAAAATATAAATAATAATAAATATAAAAATGATATAATACAAATATAATAATCAAATCAATATATAAATAAAAATAAATAATAATAATAAACAAATAATAAAATTGAATATATTTTTTATTAAACAATCGAATGAATAAAATAAATAAAAAATATAAATAATAACAGAATAAGAATAAAAGAAATATATATAATAAATAAAAATAATAAAAACATACATAGAAAAAGAAATATAAAAATAAAATATAATAAACATAAAATAATAAAAGAATAATAAGAAAAGATAAAATAAATAATAAAAATAAATAAATAATAAAATAATAAACATAATATTTATATTAATAAAATACTAATTAATATAATTAATAAAATCAAATATAACATAATATAAATAATAAATATGATAAATAAGAATAAAATAAACACAAAAAATAAGA